TCAAGCGAATGGCTTCACTATCCAGAAAAGGTAACTGCTCCACTTCATAGGAAGTCCAAATATTTGATCGCAGATGTTACCATTGAATGTGAGGTAGATCATCCTTATGATCAAGTTAATTGGTCGTGTTAACGACCTTCTCCTGATCCTTTCTGCTTCCAGGAGATCCACCTCTTGGTCTAAGATTTCCAGCTCGGCCGTTAGCGCATTTTCCCGAAAGATGTTTATATACATAGATTGTACATCAAAACTTGCCAAAAGATCTGTTTCTTACGGTGCCCATTTTTTGAGAAAATTCATCTGGATCCACATTGCTCAAACACTGTTGTAGAAATTGAAATATAATCTGCCAAATATGCTAAGAAAATAGATCCTTGCTGTAGAGTCGAACTCTATCATAATTCATAAAGATATTCTCGTCCGAATAAAATGCAGTTTGATTTTTGCCAAGCCCTACTTATTACTCCGAATAGGATTCTTACTTATAATAACGAAGTGTGGTAAAGCATAAAGAAAGTGAGAAAATTTATAGTATATAAGAGAAGATTGTCTAAGTCAGTGGTTTCCAAACTTTTCCTAGTCGCGGCGCCCTTATTCAATTAACATTTTTCCATGGCGCCCTACCCTAAGTATGACTATTCGTAAGTAAGAGATTAAAAAAATAAAACTAGTATATCTTCATTATTTTTTTACTTTATTAACATTAAATTATTATTTAATAATTGATGTGATGGATGAGCCTGCAAATTACTACACATTTTCTCAAATTTAAGCTATTACAAGATTTCGCGGAGCCTCTGTGAAGAGGCCGCGGCTCACAGAGGGGGCCGGGGCGCCACGGCGCACAGTTTAGGAATCATTGGTCTAAGTGATCAAGTGGAATATCTTTAAAAGATCACAAACCTATAGACAATGAAACAGTTCTATGATTCGTGGTGATTGATTAAACGAAATAAATAAATAGAAAGGATATAATACCTCTTTTTTTATGCGCTTTCCTTGAACGTTGCTAGAACCAGAGGTACTCGAGTTACTCTGTTGTTTTTCGTTTGCCTTCCTTTTCTTTTTCTCACTAGGTTCAGGAGATGGCGATCGCTTGCGCTTTTTTTTTTGTCCTGAAGCAGAAATTGAATCTTCAGAAACTCCAGTTGAAGGGGCGTAACCAAGATATATGGTGGTGGGAGTAGGGGCGGCAGTAGTAGGGGCGGCAGCAGTAGGGGCGTGTTGAGAATGGCTGCTACTTGAGGTCCCAGAAGATGAAATCGCAATGGGAACCCCAGCCGTGGATAAAAATTCTTCGGCTGAGTAAGTATAAAGGAAAGATAAAGAATATCTATAGAAATAACAAAAACAAATAAAATGATTATGCATGCAAGATATATATATATATATAAGTTGCTTTAGAAAAAAGCCACTAAATTAAAATATTGATAACATTTATCCCGCCTAACGTTTGTTCGACGTCGTTTTCGCAAATTGGTCGAAGCTACAGGGAGGCCTTAGTTAACTTCTCCTGCGTCCTCTGTCATAGTTATGCCGATTTTCGGCAGTTGAGTTGGTAGTCTCAACATTTCGGCGACATCGGAAATGAGCGGCACCATAGTTAGCACATAGTTACAGCTTATCAGTGGCAAGTTAAGGCAATTCGCTTAAACAATGTTCAGTTTAACATTTCTGGCAACATTTCCCGCCCTTATTTTTTGTCCTAATGTCGAGTGCTGCACCTCGTTCTCTCAACTTCACTTCATATGGTCCATTTACTCAGTCAAACCATTCTGTTTTTGTTTCCCCCAATGACGCCTAAAAATGCCACTGCAATTGAATTAAGTTAAACACAATCATCCTCACCACCGGTTCCCAAAGCCGTTTTCATGGCATCTGACTTTCGTTTGGCCCCCTTATACCACCACCTTGTAAATGGTCCCTGCCATGCATTAAAATCACTGTCTGGCTGTCTGTCTATGAGACCTATATTCCCGGTCTTGCTTGCATCATATTCGAGGATTTATAGCAGATGATTCCAATGTCTAGGCATCTTCCTCTTCCTTGGCTTCAGGCACATCAGCCAGTTATCCTTTTTCTCATCCCCATCCCCATTGTATCTCATTCTTTGGGGCCTTGTGTTTAGCTGGCGTGAAAATGCACCGATCCTCCTTTCTACTCCTGTTTCTCAAGTTGACTATCCCACCTAAGTGTACGGTTCTAGTCAGTTATTCATGTGAAAGTTGCTTGATAACCTCCCCAGTAGGCATGTCAGCAGCCACGTCTGATATAAACAGACAAGAAAAATGCACATAAAAACACACACAGAACCAATTGATCTTATGCTACCCATACGAGGCCAATTTTTCCGTTGCGCTCGAGCCAATGGTGTAGCAGCTAAGAGCGATGTATTCAGCTATCTCTGATCCTTCCGTCATTCGTGCTCTTAGATCTTTGTGTTGATTTTCATTCTCGTCTCTCCGAAGTATTTTTGTTTACAGTTCTTGCAGTTTATGCTGTATACTCCGGAGCACTCCACTTTGATGATCATTTGATGCTGTGTGTGGACAATCTGGTAAAGTACATTGTCCTTTACTTCAAGATTAAATAAATTCTCCATTTCAATGGCAGCGGCCGCAGCTTCTGAGCCACATATGAGAAATTCAGAAAAGGGAAGTTAAGGAATGCCAAGGGTTTATTCACACAAACCAATAATTATAACTCTATATAATTCTTGGGTTTCGGTTAAGATAAATTTAATAATCCCTTCACAGACCTTTCCAATGCATGATTAGGAGTAATGTAATAATAGGCCTGGAAATTAGCAATTTGGAAACCCTTTGCATGGTGTAACTTCTTAAGGAATACAATCCCAAAGATATTTTAAAAGCAAAGGGGACAAATTCATAAATAACAATAAATAAGCACATAAATACTATAATGCCAAATTAACTCGGTAAAAAATAAGAAAAAATAAATAAGACAACCAGCCATGCAAAAAACAAGTATCCACTTTTTAGTCTTCTGACAAATAATTTCATTAGATGAAAGTGACGAAAATCTAGAACAAGAGTTCTCATTACTTTTAAAGGTAGTAGGCGGATTTCTAACGGCATTATCAACAAATATGGCCGTTAGCAAACTTCTTCCAAATTAAGATATCATTTGACTGCAAAAAAAAACAAAACAAATTAAGAGACAAAAATGTAAATCGCTACTTAATCTATTTCCAGAATATCTGTTCAGACAGTTATAAAAAGATTGTTCGAGGGAATAAATTATA